CGCCAGACTGCTGGGATTCACTCCTGCTTTCTATCACTTAGCTGTGTGACCTTGGGCAATTTTCTCCATGTCCCTAAGCCTAGCAGCTTTATTGAAAAGTGGCCTAGCAATAGTAACTATTCCATAGGGCCGTGGAGGATTCAGTGAGTTAAACTACGTGCTTGACACGTGGCAGGAGCTATGTGAGGGTGTGAGAGCTATTATTAATGTCGTTATCCTCATTGCAGGGTGCTAGTTCTAATTGCTTGCTAGTAAACACCTGAATTGTGAGGCACTGTTAGAGATCTTCAAGAAAGAGGATTCCTGAGATGGATGTCCATATGTGCCAGCAGTCCCTGTCCCCCCAATTCCCACCCCCAATGGTATCAGATTCTGATTTCTGACTTCCACTGCAAATAATCAGACATATTAGGGCTTAAGCACATCTAATAAGCCAATTTACTTCATGCCAAAGGCCCCCGTTGAAACGATAAGCACTAATCAAAATCCCAATAAAAGAGCTGGATAGAGACTACTCAAATTACAAAAAACGAAAACAATTGCATTTGTACATAATGCTTTGCCAGTTCTCTGCCAATCTGTTAGGAAATTTTATAGTCCTTCATTCCTTTACTTCTTTTACTGTTAATTACAGCACGTGGGCTAATTTATAATTAAATCTTTTTTTAGGGCTCTTTTTGTTTTGAGATCTGCATGGGACTGGTTTTCCTCTCACCTTCCATATGGACCCTTATGTCCTCTCTTCATTGTTTCACCTAGCTTATAAATTAATTAATCAATAAATTAAAGTCCGAGAGAGTAGTTGAAGGCCCACTGCATAATCAGCACTATGCTGCATCAACAAGACTGGGCTTATCAACTCTAGGTGGGAGCATCTTTCAATTAACTAACTTCGTACAATTGGAATGATGAATAATGACTCAATTACCTTGAAGAAACTAGGCATGCTAAAATGACCATGAAGAAATACGGCATTTAAAAAAATCCATTAAAATTATTCTGTATTAAGCGCTTTTATAAACTAGAGTATTCTGTGTAAATAAGTGACTGTAGTAGTTAATTTTGCTACTTAAATCTAGTGTGTTTTAGATCAATTGGGCATCCCAAAACAATGATTATTGTTTACTGCTGGAGGAAGGGAAGACATTACTATATCATTGAAGATGGGATTTTACTGAATTACAAACAAATTTGCTCACTTAGATATTCTGTCTGGCCCAATTGTCATGTGATATTTCTCTTTAGTCAAATTATTAACTGGAGAAGAACACTATACTTAACTGCTAACTAGAGAAAGTTATCTTATATCCTTATTGCTACTTTCCTCTTGATATTACCAGGGACCAATCCCTATTGGAATAAGCTAACCAGGAAAATGTTTTCCATATGATTGTTAATACATATACAAATAAAATTCCACCTATATATCTGTATAGGAAAAAAAGCTTTGCTTGCACATCTTTTTAAAGAATCAGATTAGAGAGCTCAAGATACTAGCATATTTTAGTTAACATAATTTTTACAAAAGAAAATATTTTAATTTTTAGCATGCATCCATCAAAAAATTCAGTACAAAATTTTAGTTTATTAAATTAAAAATTCTAAATAGTTTTTAAAGTTGATTACCTAGTTGAAATAAGTTTGATGAAATAAAATGATAAACTAGCTTTCCTGAGCTAATTGGCAGTAACATTTGTTAATAACTGCCTGGATGTTACAATATCAGGCCAAGGAGCAGACAAGATTTAGATTTCTAATATAGGATGTCACTGAGTGCTGCTCCTTTTCTAGATGCTTTTCCTGGGGGGAAGTTTGGATGGTCAGAACTGCACTTTAGAGGAGCCTGGTTACTGTTTCCATGAATAAGATAAAGTGGTGTTTATCCTCTGTCAATCAATACTGTCTTGTTTGAACTTATTGAGTCATTTAGAGACACATAAGGTAATGAAAACCATTGTGCAATAGTACCCAGAGTCCTACCCAACCTTCTCAGGATGACCATATTTTAAAAGATAGTTACTGCAACAGATTTTTGACATCAACTGTGTGATGAAATGAACCTATACTGTCAAGGCATCCTGTGGATTTGAGTGAGAAGAGTGTTGGGCTTTAACTATGAGTTTTCTTGAGCAATATTCTCTAAAATAAAAGTATACTGTATGTGGGTTTTTTTTTTTTCCTTTTTGTCTTTTTTACTGACCGGTAACGGGATCGCAACCCTCGGTGTTGCGCCCACACCGCACTCAGCCAGTGAGCGGGAACTAGTCTCCACATGGGATCTGAACCCTCAGCGGGAGCGCTGCTGTGCTCCCAAGCGGCGCACTCTCCAGTGCGCCACCGGGCTGGCCCTACTATATGTGTTTTAATGCCAAAAATAAAATTACAGATCATATATTTCTACAAATAAATTGAATACGGTTACTATTTGTGATTGATCAAAACTTCATTATTTATGCACAGTTTTCAATTTAAACTATATTAGTATTGTTTTGACAAAGAGGAGCAAATGGGTGAGTTTGGACAGTTCTAGGTAATGTTTCTGGAGGTTGTTACAAATAGAGAAATGGAAAGGGAAGAGAGTTTTTGCAAAATTCCTAAGCACCAAGGATTTTGCTTCATCATCTCATTTAACCTTTACAAAATTCTGTGGGGCAGATTTTTCTCCCATTTCACATTTGAGGAGTCTGAGATCCAGGGAAGTCAAATAATATGCCCGAGTTCACAAACCTAGCAAGTTTGGGAACAGGCATTCCAATCTAGCTCTGCCAGGAGAGAGGTCCAGAGTGCTTTCCAGAATTACTTTTAAAAGTCTTTAAGATAGGCATAGTCCTGTTTGATGGAAGATGACTAGATTATAAGGTACCTTAGGTGTTTTCAATCATGATGATTTTGGTAGTGATGACTTCAGTTGATCCTGGTTGTTATAAATGCTGGACATGGGCTATAAAAATAATTTGTTCCTTTTCAGTCTGTGTTCTGAGGAATAGCAATTTTTAGAGATGTTAATAGATGTTCCTGAAAGAAGATGTTCTGTTGTAAAGTAAGTTTAGGAAACAAAACATTGCCTACTCTCTTAGATATTCACAGTGAATGAAAATACTTATACACGGTAAGTCTCTAGGACATGTGAGTACAGTGTAATGGTTATATGCCTGGGCTCTGGCATTATACCACCTGACTAGGGAACCTGGCTTTACCACTTGCCAACTGAGTAATATTGAGGTAACCTGTCTGTGCCTCAATTTTTATCACTTATAAAATGTTATAATGGTATCTATCATATGGTTGTTCTAAGCATAACATGAGATAAATGCATAAAAAGTGCTTGGAAGTACATGTAACAATTGGGGCCTAATAAATGCATGTTATTGTTATTACTCAAAACACTCAAGTCACTCATATAGTAACAAGACCTGCTTTAACTTTTATATATCGATTTCCTCAACTTAAGAAACAAGTGTCTCCTTTTTTTTTGAGTCATATTTATTAACATCCACTGAATAAAGTGTAGGAAATGCTGATGTTTGAAATAGCACAAAACCACGATGGTATTAGCCCAGATGGCAACAATAACTAAGTATCCAGTGTTCTCATATCCATTATGTCATTTTATAATGTTTTCCCATAACATTTCTTTTCCTTGCCAATTCTCTTCTCTCTTCCTTTACACTTGATAAATAATAAATTGGAACAATAAAATGTAAGAATTGTCAAAAATGGGCAGTCAATGTTATTCCAGAAAACGTGGCCCTTTAGAATGAACCTTATAAGTAATTTGTCTATTTCTCTGTATTTAGCAAGGCAAAACCTCATTGCTTTGACAAGTAGTGGCTTCACTTTTATTTCCAGACCTATGCTCCCATTGCATGCTCCCCAGCACACATTATAAAGAATGTTTCACATGAAACCAACACATTTTTGATGCTCTTAAATTGTAGCTACAGTTGAGTTCAACAACGTATGTTTTGCAAAGCACTAATCCTGTACAATGCAAAAACAGTGCTACATTCTTCATCTTCTTGGAGATATACAATACATATCTAAAAAGTTCAGTACCAAAGGAACTTGTTTAACTTGGAACCCATCCTCTTCTCCTCGGAACTAACTTTGGTAATCTTGAAACAAAATTATTTCAGTTAAAGAGTTTAGGAGATTTCTGGTAGGAACGGCATATTCTTGGTAAAAGCCCTGATTGATTTCTTTCTTTAGAAAAAATACCATCATATTCTAGTTGTGAATCATCATCTTTTTGGATTAAAAATGATAATGTGAAAATATATCCTGCACACACTGCCCACAGTTGCCCAAACTGTGGAAATGATCTATTAATTAGCTACTCCAAGGTTGAGATTTAACACACTCAAAACCAATCATTTTCCATTACTATTTTTGTTTTCTTTTTTGCTAGAACCAAAAGTGAATAATTTAGGGCATTCCTTTGGGTACTAGGATAAAGGCAAAGGAAATAGCAAGAATACACCAAGATTTTTTTTTCCCCTGATGGTACTGGTGATAGTGCCGGAGATAATCGAATGTATGAAGTCTAAAGTACGATAGGAATTATGACCCAGACATAGAACTCAAAATCTGCCAGTGATGTTAATACTATTCTCTTGTTAATTACACTTTTGTTTCCCAGGGTCCTACACCCAGGACAGCCATCAGCGGCAACTGTCTCTGCTGTCTGACTAGAGCTAAATAAACTTCTCAGGACATTAGCCCTGCTCTTGAACCAGAGTTGTAAATCTGCATTTTTTTTTTTTTTTAGCTTCAGAAATTTATTAAATCATGGCAGCCACCTCATTCTGACATGATATGATCATTCCAATGTATTCTTTTGTTTTCAGGTTGTTTCATTAGCATAAAAAGAAACTAGACAATACCCTGGATTAGGTTCCTAGCAGAAGAGGGTAAAAGCTGTTTTCACTGCTTTCCCCCTGATACCACAATATGCAGTTTCACAGAGTTGAAACAGAAAAAGCAAAATGCATGGCTCATACCTGAGTAATTTCAGAGATCCCCACCCGGAAAAGGTTTCCTTGATTATGGCGAATTCAACGTGTCACTCTGGTTATGCTCTAATCATCATATCAAACTCCAAAGGTTCAGTGGCTTTAGGTTTGGTTTACAATTCCTGGGAGTTAAACTTTAACTCACCCTGTCTCTTGCATCCATGCAGCACTTTGACCAGATAATTGGGTCACTACAGCCTGGACAGAATCTACAAAACTACCTTTGTTATTTGTTTACAAAATTAAAGTAAATTTTGTGTTAAAAGTGAATGAAGTAAATATTATTTTGAAGCTCTTCTATTGACTTACGTATTTAAAAAGTAGAACTCACTGCAATTTGAGCAACTAAGCTTTTCTTTAGGTGAGTTCTCTCTCTCTCTTTCTTTTGCTATGCCAAAGTGATATTAAGCCTAGGGTAATTTAGGATAATATTTCTTTACTCTACACTTTTTATACTAGTGTATTACATGGAGTAAAGTGTGAAATTTTAGGTCAAGTATGTAGACAAATGCTGGCTTACAAGCAGAAAATACACAAAGCATTTATGTAACCAAGTAGATTGATTTAGTAATATTTCTTTACTCTACACTTTTTATACTAGTGTATTACATGGAGTAAAGTGTGAAATTTTAGGTCAAGTATGTAGATAAATGCTGGCTTACAAGCAGAAAATACACAAAGCATTTATGTAACCAAGTAGATTGATTTAGGTCAGATCAGGTTGGGGAAAACATACTTCTTTTTATACAAGCTGCTCATTCATATTCTAAGTGGGAGCCATGCCTGTGAAAGCATAACAATCAGCTGCATACGAGGGTTGTGTGAGAGCTGACCCTGTTGTTCACCGCCTGAAATCTCAGTGGTAACTGTGTTTCCTGAAAAATAGAGCAATGGTATTTTTGAATATACAAACTCTACATTCTAAATTCTCTGGTAAGAGCTCCAATCTATAGAGGAAATCCCTGAGTGTAATAAAGCACACTTAAAAAAAAATAAGAACCCAAACCCTCCAAAATTTTGAGTAAATTTTGATTTAAAGTCTTGTAAACCACAGGCTCCAAAACTAGAATTAGAGGATACCCTCACCTGGCTTTAGTTCTAGTAAGAGGAGTCTAATTTTCTAAGAACCAAGTATAAAAAGAGTATTTTCATCTGTGGAAAAGCACAGAACAAGCAATCCTTCTATAATATAGATGCAAAGGTAGATGCATCATTTAAGCACATGCATGAGTACATAAGAGAGGAGATAAAAGATATTGTTGGAATGCCAGTTCTGCCTACAGTTTTCAGTTCTCAAACACGAGGAAGCCCTGATTTACCTAAACTTTTCCCAAAGCAATGCATCACTGGGTTTAACAAAAACGCTTGGAACGATTGTTTTGTCCTGGAGTGTATCACTGGGTTTAACAAAAATGCTTGGAACGATTGTTTTGTCCTGGAATTGTGTCCCTGGAGGGAGACGTAGAAGAAGTATTCATGCCACACGCAGCTAGACAGCTGTATGAGGGACACATTGCTCTACTTCCTCTGTGGGAGTGGGCCCCTCACCAAGCAGTCCTGCTGGTTTTCCTATTGTTAATATTTTAAGATTGACAGTCTTGGGAGGGTTTCCTTTGTTGTTTCCTGTGGTAGGTGCCTGGATGGTGATAACTGGACATAAAGAAAAGATAACTAGGATTTTTAGATATCTGGTGGAAAGAGCAAAACATGACA